CCCCTGCCCCGCTCCCTGCGACACAGCACCCCCTTGTAACACACGGAGATCAGCGCTATGCAGGGAGAGCACCCCCTAATGAGCCCCCTGCCCCGCTCCCTGCGACACAGCACCCCCTTGTAACACACGGAGATCAGCGCTATGCAGGGAGAGCACCCCCTAATGAGCCCCTGCCCCGCTGCATGGGGAACAGCGCCCCCTTGAGCCACGCTGGGGTCAGTGCTATGCGGGGAGAGCGCCCCCTACTGAACCTCCACCCCACTCCACAGATCCTCCCCCGACCACCCCCTCCCCCACTCCCTCAGCACCGTGCCCTCATCGAGACCCCTCCATGCTCTACTCCCTGCTGCACAGTGCCCCCTACTGAACCCCCCTGCACCATCCTGCTCCCCACTAGCCCCCCCCCCACTCCCTGCAGCCTGGCACTGCTACTGACCCCCGCCCCATTACGCCTCCCCATAAGCCCCCTGCAGCACAGCGCCCCCCACTCAGCCCCCCCTGCCCACGGTGGCCTCAGTTCTCACCTAGGATGATGCTGGAGAGGTATAGCGGCTCCATGAAGTGGCTGAGGAGCGCCCCCTGCAGGCCCAGCACGCTCCAGCGGCTCAGCTTGTCACTGCCCGAGGCGCAGCAGACCCAGGCGGCCAGCAGGCTTGGGGGGCAGCTGGAGACGGGCGTCAGCGCGCCCTTGGCATGGACGTAGAGGCCGACCGAGGGCTTCCTCCCCGGGAACGGGATGCTGCAGTGAGGGGGGCGGGGGGACGGGCACAGCGGGTTACAGGGGGGCAGGGGACAGGGGCACTGGGCTGGGGGCAGCTCGGGGTTTATCAGCCACTAGAAAGAGGGCTGATTTCTAGGGAGAAAAGACAAACAGTCCCCAGCCCCACAGCATCAACCCACGCCTCTGCCCCTCAGGAGATCCCCACCATCCTGAGCACCACACCCCCAGCACCTCTCTGCCACCCCACTGCCCCACATCTCGGCCCCTCAGCTCCACCCCACTGCCCTGCCACACCCTAGTTCTGCTCCCCAGCTCTGTCGTGCCCCTCTGCCCCACGGCAGCACCCTGCCTCCTAGTTCTGTCCCACTCCTCTGCCTCCGTCACCGCACTGTTGATCCCCAGCTCTAACCCCCCCCAGCCCACCCTCCCACAGCACCACCCCACACCCATGTCCCACGGCACTGCTCTGGCACTCCCCAACACCGCCCCACACCCTCGACCCTTCTCCCCCCCCCCCAGCCCCCACACTCACGGGAAGTTCTCAGAGGCCCCTGTGGGTGTGCGGCTCAGATACAGGTGCACAAAGACCTTCGGCTTGAGGGCCAGCAGCCCCCCCTCCGCCGAGGGCTGGAAGATGCATTTCTCCTGGTCCGCCGGCTCCTTCAGGTTGCACCACAGCAGCAGCTGTTTGTACAGGTACCTGCTGGGCGGGGTGTGTGTGGGGGGGAACAGAGATCCCCCGTCACGGCCGGGACTGGCCCCACAAGAGCTCGGACCCCTGCCTCCACCCCCACAGGATCAGACTGATCTCCCCAACCTTCACATCCTGCCTATGGGAGGGACAGAGTCCCCTATGACAACTGCTAGGCTCCATCCTCGATAAGGAGGATCGGGGCCCCTCCCTGACTGTTATGGGCTGGCTCCTCCAGACCCCATGGGCCCCTCCCCATCTCTAGCCCAGCCAGCCAGCCTCCCATGGCAGCTTAGTGACCGGAGCACATCTCACCTCTGCAGCGCCCGGCGAGCCACCACCAGGCCGTGCGTGTCATGGAGCCGCCAGCCCCTGAAATCCAGCCAGCCACCGTAGCAGGTATCGCCAGTGCCCAGCGCCACCAGCTCAAAGCTCTCCCTGCAACCCTGCTGCGTGTCCATCACCTCTGCAGGGCAGGGAAGGGTTAAACCACAGTGCTGGGGCACCAGGAGGTCAAAGACTGAGGTGGGAGGGAGGAGGCAGCAGGGCTAGGGGTAACCTGCCCTCATCACTGCCCCAGCCTCAAACTACTGTGACTCCTCCAGTTTAGTGATCAGAGCCGGGGGGCTGGGAGCCAGGACTCCTGGGTTCCATCCCCAGCTCAGGGAGAGGAGTGGGCTCTAATGGTTAAAGAGGGGAGGGGACTGGGAGCCAGGACTCCTGGGTTCTATTCCTTGTTCTGGGACTTCTGCATCACTTAGAATTTGGAAGGCGGCAGTGGGTAGGTTTCCTACCTTATATTCCTGGCTCCGACCCTTAAATGACACTCCCCTCTGAAAACTGGGGATAGAACCCAGGAGTCCTGGCTCCAAGCACCAGGGAACGCACCAACCCATTTACGATCAGCCACCCATTTGTTCTTTCATCTGCGGAGGGTTCTCCCCAGTCCATACACCCCAACCTCCCACCCCACAGGGCTGGGTGCATCTCCCCTGCCGGGGAGAGCGCCACCTCTGTCCAACACACACCGCAGTGCCTGGGTCAGCCCCCTGCAGGCCATCAGCTGCCCGGCTGCATCTGCTCAACAGGTTCCTTCAAGGTGCCAGGGGAAGGGTGAGCTTCTCCTGCAGCCATCCAGCCTTGTGGGGAAGTGGGGGGGGGGGGCAGGGCCTGGCCAGCCAGATGCTCCTCACCTCGCTCCAGGATGAAGGCTGCCACGCTGCTCTTACAGCTCCAGTACTGTGGGTCCCCTGCCAGGAGCCGATCGAAGGTGTCGCTGGTGAGGGCCGCACAACGATGCACGTGGGAGAACACGTTTTCTGCAGCAGGGGGACGGGGAGTGTGAAGAGAGCAGATCTGGTTCCTGGGCATCGAGGGACTCGGCCCAGACGCTGCAGTGATGGGCGTCAGTGTAACCCCCTTATGCCAGGCGGGGGTCAGACCGGGCACACGGGGGAGGGGGGGGCAGTGTGACGGAATCAGACTGGGCACCCGGGGGCAGCAGCAGAGGGATTGGGCACACCAGGGGGAGCAGTGTAACGGGATCAGACCAGGCATGCAGGGAGCTGGGGCACGCTGTGGGGAGCAGTGCGACGGGGTCAGATCAGGCACACAGTTGGGGGAGTGGCACAATGGAGATCCGGGAGGGGGGAAATCAGGAACTGGCCACAGAAGCATGTGGCATGACAGGCCAGAGGAGAAGGCCTGGGAGAGGGCAGGGTTCAGAGCGACGCAATGGGGTTGGACAGGGCACGTGGCATGGGAAGCAGCGTGATGGGGCCAGACAGGGATGCCCAGGCCTGGGCACGGCTGGGGGAGATGAGTTAGGGGGACCCCCAGGACTGGGCCCGGTGGGGCCAGACAGGGCTGCACGGGGGCACCTGGCTCTTGCCTGTGACCGGAGGTCTCAGGAAATTGGCCTCTGGCCGCTGCTCTGAGGCTATAGGACGAGAGAAAGTGCCGCCAATCGCAAGGGGCAGGGGGAGCGGTCGCTTTAGGGAGCACCAGAGCATCCCCTGCACTAGGCAGGACCCCTGGGTTCTATTCCCCAGTTCTGGGAGGGGAGTGGGGTCGAGTGGTTAGAGCGGGGGGGCTGGGAACCAGGATGCCTGGGTTCTACTCCCAGCTTAGCCACCAACTCCCGAGAGATTAAAGATCTTTGCTGCTGAGCATTATCAGCACAGGCTGGGGAGTCTGGGGTCCCCACCTGGCTTTATGGGGCCAGCTGCCCAGTGCGGCTCTGCTCGGAGTCACCGTCACACTCACCTGGGTTCACCATCTCCATATGGAGCAGCTGGCTCGGGGCGCACCGGCTAAGCGGCACCCTGGGGTTTCTGGCGCACGTCCTCAGGAACGGCCACTCCCAGGGCGGAATGGGCCCAGACAAGGGCTCTCCAGGGGGACTGACACCAGGGATGGATATTGGCACACGGTTGGAAATGCAGGCATGAGTCTCTCCAGCTAAACCCACTGCGGCCCAACCTCACTGCCCACCCCATACAAAGCCATCCAGCCACCCCCTGTACCCCACCTCCTGGCCCCCCACGCTAGGCCATGCCATCCAGCCAGCCACACCCCCATCCTCACCCTCCACTATGCCACACCATCCATCCATCCCCACACTACACCATGATGTCCAGCTTTCCCTCCAACCTGCAGCCACACACCCGCCCCACGCACCCACCATGGCTCCCCCCGCTTACTAACAGGGTCCACATCTCAGTCTCGTCTGGTTAAACTGTACTGGGAGCTCCCTGCCATGTGCCAGCCTGTCCCCAAACCACCAGGGGGGGATGGCAGAGGCCCCCAGCTCCCAGAGTCATGAGACCCCAGCAGGATCTCGCCTTGCACCCAAAAGCAAAATACCGTTCTTGTGGTTAGCAAGAAAAGCTCAAAAAAATGTAACCCGAGCGTAACTGAGGTGACAATGCTGCCTGAGCCCATGGCTGCAAGGGGGGAGGTACTTGGGATGTGACCGACGCTGCCTGAGTCTGCCGAGAGCCTGGGCCCATGGCTACAAGGTGGGAACTGCTCGGGATGTGACCAGCGCTTCCTGAGTCTGCCGAGAGCCTGAGCCCACCGAGAGCCTGAGCCTATCACGGAGTGTGGGGGAACTGCCTCAGCTTCACTGGGTGTTGACTCCCAGCTCTACTGCTCCAGGGGGCCTGGCCAAGCCCACCCCTCTGAGAGCTGTGTGTGACAGGGAGGGGGAGAGTGCCTGTCCACACCCCAGCAGACATTCCCC